AGAAATTAAGAACAATTAATAGAACATAAATAACAAAATAGTATCTTAAATAAATAGGTGAAATAAAAATACAGAATTCCTCTGCAACACCACATTGTACTATTTGGTCGGATGAAATGATGAATCAAATTAATCGAATATTAAATTACTGGTAACAAGCAACGACAATGAAGCCACGAAACACAAATTTCGAAAAATATTTATCTTACTTTCTACTAACTGTACCGAACATGCACACGTACAGTATATAGGTAAGTGTACGTGTTAATGAATTTCAAGTTCGATACGTGTTTCAGCACTATTGTCTCGTTGTCTATTGTCTCGTTGACCTGCTAGAGTAAACTGTAGAAAAACCGATAATCTCCGATATACGTGAGCAGTGATTGTTCAGAGTGAGGAGGTGGTGATATCGTTTGCAACTCCACTTGGCAACTCGATTCTGAACACTCGACGATGAACACCTGTCGTCAACAGTGATTTTCTTACGTATATCGCTCTGCTGTTTGCCATTTTCCTCTGCTCGATACAAGTTGCTTTGCAGTTCTTCTGTTGAAAATGAGACTATTTTTTAGACCTAGCTCTTTCCGTTTCTGTTTCTCTCTTTTTGAAGATCCTCTCTGAAATTTCAATTCTAATATCTTTCTTCTTTAAACTTCAATAAATCAGAAAGAATATTTGATCAACTTCTCTTCATCGTAGAATTATTGCGTGGAAGATGATTATTTTTTATTGTAACTAGTGTGATAATTTCTCTAGTATATAACATCAGAATGTTTGTTGGTGATCAGGCGAAGGAGATCGTCGTCGTTCGCAAGAAATCGTTAAAGCCAGTTGACACGTACGCGACGCCAGTGAATATTAAAATTCTTCTGCGCGCATTTACGAGCAACGTTGATAACTGACAAATAGCGTTGAAACTGCCCTATGCTCATAAAAATTTTATGCCTGTGCCAGCGACGGTAATTCCGTTTTTAACAGTTTTGTGCTGACTCCACACTGATAAAATCTTTCAAAGATTTTGATATAGTTATATATTTAAATTTTTAAATAGAGTGGAGAATTAAATACAGAGTTCCAGTCTTTTTCGTATCAACGTTGTCCAACGTGCGTTTAATTATTTTAATAAATGGGACAGAATGAGAAACATTCATTATTCATATGTAGTATATTGGATGTGCCAGAGAGACAGTGTGCCAAGTTTTAATTTTATACAATATATACTTGACAAATTTTCAGGCTGCATTCCCTTGAAAAGGAAAGAATTTTCTTCCCTCGTTTCGATCTATTCTTTCATGCAGAATCAACCACCTTCTGAATACTCGCGTTTCTAAACAAAATTCAGTGAATAATTTTCGTCGCGAACACATATCTGGAATAATTGCGAAATTGAACGATTTGAAAGCTTTCAGGATCAAAGAAACTGCAGCCTCAGATATTATTGATAATTCCACAATCACAGAGGGACAAAATTTCCATCGCAATTTCTGTTTGACTGAGTCAAAAAAGTTTACTAGTCAAAAAAAGAAAAAAAATCTCTGTTCCAAATTATCTTACCGTTGAAAGCGAAAGGATACGATCGTGGAAATATTTGAGAGATCGACACGAAGCTTCGAGAAACGATCAGGAGCTTCGTCAGTACTCGGTTGGCCGAATTCCAGCGATGGTACGGCAACGATCGTAATTCCTTCTATCGCGTATCCACGTTCGTTTATCGAGCATTCTGTCTGAGCTGGTGCGAATCCCGGGGACATAAATTTCTGCGCGAACCGACCGAGATACGAAGGCGTGGACAGATTGCCGGTGAAAATCGGATGAAGGGAGAAGACCAGAGGGATCGATATAACGAATCGGTTCGACGCGACAGAGTGACATTTTTTTTTTCTCCCCTCCGTTAACACCGTAAAACTCGATTTTCTTTCCGGCTGATCTTCCTTCTAAGCGGAAGCGTTGCAAAATGACACGCAACAGGTGTTTAATAAAGTTACACGGCCGCGATATTATGTATTATTCGTACGCCATCGACGAGATAACGCGAAGATCGTGCTCGCTGTCGCAAATCCCCGTGTTGTGTTTCGAAATCCTATTTCAATGAAGGATCCTATTCTCTCAGGATCGAAGATTCTTTCGTCAGTGACGAAATAAGTTGAGGAATTGAAATGACAAATAGCAAGTTGGAAAATTTCCCTCCCCTTTTTCTCTTTTCTCTTCTCTTTCTTCAGATACTTTCTGCAGAACATAGTCGTGTCGGTTGTCTTTTGCACTGGTTCTAAGCTCTAACTGACTCGGTCTGTCAGTTTTCTGATTCCTTTAACCTGCAAACAGTTGAAACGACACGTTGCACAGGTAGGATATTCTGCAAGGAAAGACGTTACAACAAACGAATAATGGATAAATTTATTAAATTTACATACGTTCGCAATGTGTATAGAATTCAAATATTATATCAAGTATAAATGATTAAATTGTCAATTAAGAATTAAATACAATGAAAATCGAGATGTAATAATAAATTAAATTTATAATACGTAAATGTAAAAATTCGAACTACTTTGAACATGATGTTATATCTTCTCTTGAAAGTCTTGAAAGTCTTCGACTGATTTCGAATCTGCTTCAACAGACATCTTTGAAAATGTCGTTCTCGTATTTGTCAGTTTCTTTATTACGTCCAGAGATCGAGTCGGTATTTTTAGGTAATTATTCTATTATCGCAATGGAAACTAAATGCTTCGGATATCGGTATGATGTCATTAAAACGACATTATATCGGTATAGCCGATATTTCGTATCTATAATACCTGTGTAGTACCGATAAATAT